AAAAAAAAAAAAAAAGAAGACACTGAAGAGACACAAGCCCAGGCAGATGGAAGGGAAGAAAGGGGACAAGCTCCAAGAAGCCAGAGTCTCTCCAGATGGAAACACTCAGAGGAGATCCGGGTCCTACTCATCTTAACTTGGTTTTTGCTGAGCACTGTATTTTGCTCTTTTGTTGCTTACTTTTGAGAAGTTTTAAACTCTGACAAAACATAACCAGGAAAAATCTAACATAACAGAAAGTTAAGATATCTGGACTAAAAATGCATTCTAGGGGCGCCTGGGTGGCTCAGTGGGTTGAGCGTCCAACTCTCGGTTTTAGTTCAGGTCGTGGTCTCATGGGTCATGGGATCGAGCTCCATGTCCAGCTCCCTGCTCAGCAGGAGTCTGCTTGAAGATTCTCTCCCTCTGCCCCTCCCCGGCACAGATGTGCTCTCTCTCTAATAAATAAATCTTTTTAGAAAACACATTCTAAAACAATGCTAAAATGAAAAACCAACCCCCCCAAAATAATTTACAAAACAAACAAACAAACCCAGATGACCGGTAATTATACGAAAAAAGTACCTGCTTTTCTCATAATTAAAGCAACACAAATCAGAACAGCGATCCTGCGTTTCCATGGCACAGGACTGGTAGGCTTAGAAGTTTAACCACAGCCAACGCTGGCAAGGTATAGGGAAAAAGGCGTTTTCACACTGTTGTTGCTGGTTCCACGAACTGGTGCTACACCCATTTTAACACACACACACTCTAATCCAGCAATTCTTCTGGAAACTTATCCTAGAGATAGCGTGTATCTGTAAGAAGATCCTAACAGCACTGTTTATAATAGGAAAAAAGCTGGAGTCAACCCAAATGCCTACTAGAGGACCACTTACACTGTACAGTGTAATCCCTTCACATATTTTTAAAATCTCCATTTCCATGCACAGAAAAAGTTCCAGAAGAACACACAATAAACTGTCAATGGCAGTTGTCTCTGCAGAGTGGGACTGCCAAGTAGAAACACCATTTTCCATTTTTAACGCACACTCTTTCCTACTTAGTGATTTCTTTTTCTATGTATTTTCTTACAGCACTACTACTGTTTTTACAGCTTCTCCCTCTTCTGCCCTTTCTCCATCCTCTCGCTCATTTCCTCTTTCTGACAAAGGGGACCAGGAAGTGGCTCAAAGCAGCCTAGAGCCTGCAGCCTGGGCGGCATAGACAGCTATGTGGCCGATAATTCTACTTCTAGAACGAGCACGGAAATCAGCCTGCTGGGCCTCCGCCCCAAGTGGGAGGTGTCACTACAGCTGTTTTCCATCATGAGGGCAGAGCCCAGTGCCAAGAGGCCTGGACTGCTCCTCTGGCTCAGGCTGGACCAAAACCCTGAACACACCTGACAGCCTGAAGGCCTCTGGGCACTGCCCAGTCAGCTCCTACTCAGCCCAGGAACCACCAGAGAAGCTGAGTTTACCAGCCCTGGCCACCTCGGTGAGCACAGAAATGCATTCTGGAAGCTCCCTCCCAGCCCACTATCTGTACCTAAAGATCAGGTCCACACCACCACAGAGGGCCCTATCAGGCCTCACTCTGGAACCAGGGTACAAGGGGCCTTAGGCTCTCCTCTCACTTTTACGCAAAACTGAAGAAAAAACCTTTATGTCCTTAAAACTTAACTAAAATGAAGAATACAGATATATCACCCTCTCTTGGAAAAAAACGCTGGGGGGGGGGGTTCCTCTTTAAATTCAATCCCTCTCCCCCATCGCCCCCCAGGCCCTCTACTCCCAGAACGGATGACCTGGGGTGGAGGGAGAGGTAATCCCTGGACTTTTTAGGAACGCAGATGACGGAGACTAGCCCTGGTGCTGCTGCCTGAGTTCAAGCAAGAGAAAAGGTGCCTTCCCCAGGAGGATGCAAGTCCTGACTTGTCCTGACTTGTCCTGACTTGGCTGCTGTTGCTTTCTGTACGTTCTATTTCCCCTCTGCACTGTCTATCCTGGGGCGGGGAAGTTCGGAATGCCACACTCACCTGGTCTAAGGTCTTGCAGCAATCCACCAACACGCCCACAGGCTGGGTGTCCTGCAAGCTCTCCTTTAACTCCTTCAGCTCCAGGTCAGAAGGACCAAGACTCTCATCCTACCAGAGAGGAGAGGAGAAGGTTTGCCACTGCCACGGAAGGGTCCTCACAGAAAACACGGCCTCGCCCCGATTCCTGGACTGCTGGCTGACTCACCGGGGTCTGGGGAGGTAGGGCCTCAATACTGGCAGCGTGCGAGGAGATGGGCAGGATGCTGAGCTGGTCATCGATGACGAGACATTTCTTACAAGAGGCCAGAGAGAGAATAAATCTGAGGAACAAAATGGTCATGAGGTGCTGAGGGGGAAGGAAGGCAATGTCTACACAACAAAGGTGTGGCTTTTCTTCAGGAAAATCATTTGGCCCCGTCTCTAAGAATGCTAGGGAAAGCCAAAACCCAGTTGGAGGGCAGTGTAAGAGGATTCTGAGCCTCCTCTACAGGGCACCTGAACGTGTTTTGTTTTTTTAAGATTTTATTTATTCATTTGAGAGAGAATGAGTTAAAGAAAGAGAACAAGCAGTGGAGGGGGCAGAGGGAGAGGGAATACCAGGGAGCCTGATGCAGGGCTCCATTCCAGGACCACGGGATCATGACCTGAGCTGAAGCAAACGCTTAACCGACTGAGCCACCCAGGTGCCCCCTGAACGTGCTTTATACAGCAAACAAGAACACCCAGAACTATCCTGAGAGACAGGTTACAAGCACTCCTACTGTGCACAACCATCACTGTTCCCTGCGTCACACGGCCCTTCCCACACCCTCTTAGGCTCACCCCTTGAGGACTGAGCTGTCTCAGGCCATCCTTCAGTGGGGAACTCCAACCCCCCCCCACAAGTGATCACCAGTCACACAGGGAAACAAACCCATACACGAATGAATTTACCTTCGGCCACAAGGAAGAAAAAATAAAGACAAGGAAAAGACAAAAGCTCCCTTAAGAAATTAACACAGACACTCCTGTGTGTAGGAAAACATGTTTTGGCTGGAGAATTCAAACTCCTCCCACAGCGCAAGAAGAGAGCCTCATGGGCTACTCGCACAAGCTTCCTTCTGTTCTATCCAGCAGCACGTGGCCACCTCCTGACCCACTCCATCTACTGAGTGAAAGCACCAGAGAGGATGAAAACTGGAAAGGCCACAAGCTTTGAGGCCAAGACTTCTAAACCTCAGCACTAGCAGCATTTCAGATTCTTTGTTGTGGAGCTGTTCTGTTCACTTTAGGCTGTTCAGCAGCATCCCTGGCTTCTACGCACTAGATGCCGGTAGCGTCTCCCGCCCCGCCAATGCTCTCCCCCAAGTCATGACACTCAAAATGTTTCCAGAGACTGGCAAATGTCCCCAGTGAGCAAGACTGCTCTAGATGAGGACCACTGATCCAGGCCACAGCTTCACATGGAGTTTCACAGGCTGCTAACTGGTGTTCCCTAAAAAAGGGCTCTGTGGTCAAATAAATCTGGGAAACGATCAGTTAAATAGGTCCCTGCTGCTGCAAGACTTTTAAGAGGCTATGACACGCTAAAATGAATCTTCACACAGGATAAACCGTATCAGCACTTCCCAGACACAACTGGCCAGAAATCCTTTTGACATAAAGCCCCTCTTAAAATACCAGTGTTCTGTGAAACACATTTTGGGAAACGGTGACCCAGACAAATTACCCCTCTGACAAAAGAGTAAGCTAAAATCCAGGCAGGAGGAGGACTTGGTTCAAGCCCCAGCTCCCCACTCACTTTCACTGCTTCCAGTTGGCTTTCCAACCAGCACTGCTGTCAGGATCTCACCACTCTGGACCCCTGTGCTGCCTGCCCTCAGACAAAAGCACAGCTCTCCACTGGGTCCAAGACAAAAATATGCTTCCCGCCATGGCTCCCCACAATTAAGGGCCTGAGAAATGTGCCTCAGACCTACCTCTCATTAAATCTTCCCACCACATCCTGATGGGCCTCAGTCCTGTATCTTGAATGCACGTCCTAAAAGAAACAATATCTGTGAACAAAGACATCCCAAAGTAAGGATGAGGCTCTGGGTCTAAATGTGAAGACGTTCTAATAAGCAACCCTGGGATAAAGGAGGTGCCAGAGCTACTGATGGAAATTCATTCCTGCAGCACCTCCTGTGCTAAACGGCCCAACTGCTCTTTGCTGGAACTGGGATCATCAAATACTCAATGTAGTGTTTTTCATTACAACAAACTTCCCCTCATCTCAACTTGGACATCTTCCCACATTTTAGCCAGCATCATAAAATGTCTTCATTCAATAAAACGTACCTATCAACCGTGTGCCAGACATGCTGGGTATACACGGATATTTAATGAAGCATGACCTCTGTTCTCATGGAACCTATGGTTTAATGGTTGGAGGGAAACAAATGAGTAAAATTCTGGCAAATACAACAAATGAAAAACAGGGTGCAGTGATAGCGAATGGCAGGGCAGCAGTTACTTACATGTGGTACAGAGGGAAGGCCCTCTGAGGTGAGAAGCGGACAGCCATATGAAAGGGGGAAGAAGGACAAACAAACTGACGTGGGCACAACGGTCATTCATTCATTCACAAGCATTTAATCAGTGCTTACTAAACGCCAGGCACTCTTCCAGGATCTGGAGTGCACCAGTGAGGAAAACAAAGTCTCATCTCACAAAGCTTAGAGACTAACACAGGAAGTCAGACAATAAACAAATATATATGTAACCTCAGGTATTTGGCAAATGCCCTGAACAAAAATAAAGCAGTTCACACATTCCAAACAGGGTGTGAGGAAAGACCACACTGACGAGGTGGTGTTTAGCAAGGACTTGAATGCAGTGAGGAAGAGCGCCATACAGATATCCCAGAGGCCACAGCAAGTGCACAGACCTTCAGGTGAAAGTGTAGTGGGCATGTCTGAGGACGCCTGAGGAAGCCAGAGGGGCCACAGTGGCAGGTGATGGGAAGAGTAGTGGTGATGGGAAGCAGCTAAGGTTTGAGGAAAGTCCAGGTCACCGTATAAACGCAGCTCGTGAAACCCTGAGGCCAATCCTAACGCCATCCCCGAGCAGGGCCATGGGCATAACTAAGAACATCCACGTGGCAATACTGATGGGGTCAGAGAGCAGCTCTGCATCCACTGGGACATATTCCCACTCCTAACCATGTTCTCGGCTTTGGATGGAAAATACCCCTCCCAGAGTCGAAGCTCTTGCCAAACTGGGAGTGGAACTGGCAAATGTTCCTTCATCATCCACCAGGATGAGGACTGGTGAGGGCATCTGTGCGTAGTCCCTTTTTTGCAATAGACAAAGGAGGCACTGGCTTGGCTCTCTGCAGAATATCATTCCAGAAATGAAACTACGTAATAGCTGCATCATACCTGAAACTCACCAGTGTAGAATTTGCAAATACCCAAAAGCAAATGTGAAATTCAGAGATGCCCAGACACAGTCAGGGCCACTGACGTTTCTCCACAGTGACCTTCTCATTACTTACAGTCCAAAAGCTCCCGGCCCAGAGCTTGCGCTGACCACTCACTGGAACTACTGAACAGGAATTCTTAGAAGAACGTGGCCAACAGCAAAAACACAGCTTGATCTGAACCGCCAGAGTTCAGTTAAAAACCATACACCTACCATGGTCATCGTGTACAACTGCTTCAGTGAATTCATGGTCCGTAGGAGGATGACCACCAGCCCACCACCTTCCACTGTTTCCACAGTTCTGGCCAGCAAATTTGGAGTTAAAGCTTCAAAATCCTGGAAGAAGGAGACCTTGGAAAGGGCTAGTCATGCAGAGAGCACCCCCAGGGAAGCTCAACCAAGGGCCAGGTGATAAAAGAAGGGCTTCAGAACACAAACCCAAGACCAGAGCCCCCATCCAACTCACCAGTATGAACACACATACACACACCCCTTCCTGATGGGCAGAGAAGCGAGCCCAGCCCTGGAGAATAGGGGTACCTGGTTTTGTATGTCGTGTGTGTCTAATAATCTCAGACAAAATCCTATTTGGGAAGAAATTGATTCCCACTTGCATTTCACAAATCCCTCATGTTCATTTTCTGACATGTTTACAGATAGAACCTGTCTGACAAAACTCAACTGCACCACATGGGGGAGCCACTGCCCAAGGGAGCCTTCTTCCCGGCAATCTGTAACAGCAGCGGCGGCCTAAGAACACTCCCTACCGCTCAGTGGTGGCTTGAGAAGAGGCAAAATGCTCTCTTCTTGTCTCCAAGGCGGGATGCAAGCCAGCAGTAAGGGACAACCCACTGGAACGTAGAAAGAAAAAATAATAACTCCCAATTCATGATTTTTCCCCCTCAATTCTTAATTTATATTTCATAAGATACGTTTTATAACGTATGTAATCATGGTAGTACAGGCATATCATAAACACATACCAAAATTGGGGATTTGAGCTTAAATGTGTTCTTTTTTGGGGCATGCGGGGGTCACAAGTGTCAAGGAATCAAAGGATAAAACAGACCGCCAGAGCTCAAAACAAAGAAAAACGTGAAATTTAGTCCATTAACTTGACTAGCAAGAGAATACTACCTGTGAAAAAAGGCCCCAGGTAGTTCTCTGTGGGGGGAAAACTGAGGGGATTTTAAGAACGACAGGGACTGAGGGTGTTGGTGGCGGTTATGCCCATCAAGCTCTCTGGGGAGAACGCCCGAGTGCACAGGTCCCACCGCTCACTGCTCACCGAAGTCTCCAGCTAGTTCTCCTAAGGATCTGGGGACATGGGGTCACTTGAAGTTCGCAGAACTTTCTCACCTTCAGCTGGTTAGAAGCAGCTGTGACGGAGCATCTGTGTCAGCTCTGGTATCTCTAGATAAGTGCTGCTCTGAGTGGAAAAGTTTATTTTTATATGGGGTGAGGTATCAAGTTTGCTTTGGAGAGTGGCCAAGTGTTCTGCTGACAATGCTCAGGGGAGGCGGTACAGGTGAATCTTTCTCCTTACAGTCCGCCTGTTCTTGAGGGGAACCCTCCGCCCTCGGACTCCAGGCACAGGCTGGAGGAAGCCACCCACCTGGAGGACGCACATGCCGAAAGTGTTGCCCAGGATCTTGTGGGTCTCATTGTAGTAGCAGTACCGAATGTTTGTGGCCGCCACGAACAGTTCAAAGGGGTCATCTTGCTTTATGTTCAGTGTCCCATTCTTTATTTTTTTCTGGAGCTGTCGCATTCTCTTCTTCCGATGACTGCAATCACCCCCAACACACACACCCCAAGAGAGCCAGTTAACCAGACAGGCTAAAAGGGTGGGAGCAGGGGACAGGCCAATGATCACCCACCCAGACCTTCAGAGCTAGAAGGGAACTTGGCAACTGTAGGGCTAACCCCTCCCTTTAAAGGTGAAGGAAAGCGTAGAGAGGTTGAGGATGGGCTTCGGAGGGAGCCAGGGGTAAATCTATGTGGGGACCCTGCTAAGCTGCCCTGGCACCTTCTGCAAATACTTGACTTCAAAAGAAGGGTAATAGAAGGACCTAAAAGCTCATATCTGGCCAGACCAGAGTTTGAAACCAACCTTGGTGACCTCATTACCTTAGCCTCAAGCACATGCTTCCACTACACGGTACCATTCCCCAGAAGACCTGGGAGAGGCAGGGTGACCACAGGTAGTTTATTCATTTTTCATAAATGCATTCATCTACTTCCTTCCCCAGACTGTGGGATCAAGTCCTCAAGGGCAGTTCTTACTTAAGACAATACTGACAGAGGCTATAAGGGTTGGAATGGGATCTGGATAACTCTCAGGAATCTGGAACTTTTCTTTTGTCTTAAAAACCCTGACTATCCAACTGTCATTTAACTCTCTCCTCTACAGAGAGAAAAACAGGAAAGCTCCAGAACTGAGGATTCTAACTGATCGAAATGTTACCACAGTCCTCTAACTGAATAGCTAGAACAAAGGCCCTCCCTCTGAGCCCGTACTTCTTCATCTGTGAAAGAGGCAGTTGGGCAAGGTGACTGTCACTGTCACTTCGGGCTCATGCCTTAGCCCATGACTTACAAGCATCAGCTAATCTGGTGCTCTGTCACCTCAAGACAGGACTGGGAGAGCTACAAAAGGCACATACGAGATTCTTACAAGTGAAGTCGAGGGGTTAAGTTGGAAAGACAAATCTGCCCGAACACTGTGAACTGCCTAATTCTGCACCCATCTGACATTCACCAACTGCACGGCAGTGACACTCACAAGTCCCAGAAAGTTACCATTCTGCTGACAGGCAATAGGCCTTATTCTCAATCTGTATTAAAAATGCTTACCTGCCCTAATATAAAAGAATATATACAACAAAATACCTATTATGATTTACAACACAGTGATAGACAGCCAAATGCTAACAATGCCTATGTACTGAGATTATGAGTGCTTTTATTTTCACCTTTGTGATTTGTCTGTATTTTCCATATTTCTTACAAGAACGCATTTATATTATTTTTTTTAAAAAAGCAAGACAATTTACTCAAAAACTAGTTTCTTTTAGGCAGAATCAAGTCTCTTGAAGACCAAAGGATGCTAACTAATCAAATTTAGCCTTTGGAACTAAGTACAATTAAAAGACTCTTAGAGCCCGTTAAACGATGCATTCAACTCAAATATTATCTGAGCACCTACTACAAACATGTCAGATCATTTGAAAATACAAAAATATAAAAATAAGCAGGCGAGGCCTCCTAACTAAATGAACTTACTGCCTGGAAGTAAAACAAGACCAGGGTGCAAATGAGCGTCTTCCTGAGGAGGGAGAACGGAGGGTGAGCAGCACTGGAAGACTGACAGGCAGCGAAGAGGGTGGAGGCGCCCCAAGGTGTGGCTACAGGGTTTGGGGTAAGTTTGGGGAAGGAGGCAGGCCCCAAAAAGTGGGGGACGTTTCAGAAGAGGGTGCCAGAGAGGCGGAGGTGGTATCCCGGGCAGAGGTGGCGGCAGGGCCAAGGCCGGGAGTGTCCATGGCACAAAGCAGCCAGGGCTGGAGATTCCATTTCAGAGTCAACGCCAGAGACAAACACATTTGGGAATAAAGGAGAGAGGAGTGGCTCAAGGACAGAAACGCATACCAGAGCTGGGCGGACGGTAGGAGGTAAGATCAAGAAAAAGAGCACTGCTCAGGAAGGGAGCCCAAGAAAGGATCATAGAAGCCAACAAAGGAGTGCGCTTCTGATGGCACCACAAAGGAGGTTACCTGCCGAGGAACAGGCCTCAGCACTCCAAACTCCTCCATACACAGAATTATGGGTAGAACTACCAGGTTTCCACTAGATGGACTGACCCCACCTCCTCAGGCCCAGGGGTGGGCATCGCTCCACAGGAATTCGGGGAGAAAGACTGATGTCCGACATTGCTGGACCTCAACACTCAACAGCTATTTCTGCCGTGGTGACAAAACACAGAAAGCAGAGCTGTAGCGGGAAAGAACAGAGCGGAAAGCAGAGCTGAGAGTGAGCAAGAACTGGGAGCGTCAGTGCTCTGGCTCTACAGCAGCCGAGGCAGGGCTGAAATCTCATCCCCGTACATACTTCAGAGACGTCAAGAAACCCCCTTTGGGCCTAAGTGTGTTTGTGCTGGAGGGCTGCTATTTACCAACTAGACGTCCTGACTACCGCAGCTTCAAAAAATAAGAGGAGAGCCAACTGTGAAACACAACAGTGAACCAGTGGAGAAAGAGCTCTGAGAGGAAGGAGAAAGAGGGAGAAAAGCTGCTGCGTGAAGTGTCTGGCTGTCGATGACTTCCCAGAGCACAGTCTGGTTACAATGATCGAAGCAGAAGCCAGCTAGCAAAAGAGTGTGGCTAGAAGTGCACCAGGCTTCTGTTTCACTGCAATAAATGTGAGAGAAAATGCAAGCGTGAGAGATAAAACTGAGTAGGTAGCTAATCGTTTTGTTGTTGTTTTTTTTTTTTTTTTTTTTTTGAGACTGGAGAGCTGAGCACGTTTACAAGAAAAAGGAGCAAGTTTCAAAGGGATAAGGAGTGGCTGGGAGAGGAAAGAGGATGCAGGTCCCGAAAGAAGTGAGAGAAGAGATCCAGAGTAGATTAAGGGGTCTGCAGTGGACATGGGATGAGGCACGTCCTCCTCAGAAACAAAAGGCAAAAAAGAGACTGCAAATACAGAGTAAATTTGAGATGGGAAAAGACAATTGAAGGAACTTACATTAGACAGGCTTGATCAGCTTAGAAAAGTAAAAAGAAAATCACAGGCAGAAAGCAAGGAATTGGGCTGGGCACTTCTACAGAGCATGGAATGGATTTGAAACTCATTGTCAGGAACGAAGAAAGGACATCAGCGCTATCGTTTTCTCTCTTCGAAAGTGTCCTCAGAGGTAGCACCTCCCTAATGATCCCTGAAAAACTAGGTCAGGGAATCACTGCCTGGCACTGATTTAAGGAGCAGGAATTTTAAGTGGTACAGGACACTCAAAGGGCCAAACTTACCTGCTAAACCCCAGCTCTTTCTTGTAACACCACAGCACTGAAGGCCGAGCCTTCACGGTTGCTTTGGACAACATGTGATGGAGTATGACCACCTGCCAAAGGAAGAAGTCACAGAATCTCAGGGCCCAAAGAGACCTCAGAGACTGCCAGGCCCAAGACCTCACTTGACAGATCCAGAAAGTAAATCGAGGGCCAGGACAGGGAAGTGCCCCAGGTCACAAGGCCAGCAGCGCCTAGGCAGGGGCTAGAAGCCTGGTCACACACACTTAACCTCATGCTTAGTCCCCGCCGAGGTTCTCACTAGGCATCTTACTCAAAGAAAACCAGTCAAAGGGACCTTAATGCTACTATGTGCTGAAACCTCCGAGGGCCAGTAACAAGCTGACTCTGTGGGATAAGATACAAAGTCAGTCAGGAAATGTTGACTACATCTTACCTGATCCTTTCCTCGGTCTCCAACTACAATGAACAAAGACCTTTGCCGTTCAGCGACTCCATTTTCAATGAGAATCCGGATTCGGTTATCTACTTTCTTCCGATGCATGGTGAAAGATTACCACTGAAACAGAGAGAAAGGAAACACAACTGGACGTGAACACCAGATTCTGGGTGAGGAACATTAGCTGGCCACCTCCTGTGGGGCCAGGGGTTGTGTCAGGCACATTTGTAAGTTATCATTTTACTTGGACGCCTGGGTGGCTCAGTCGGTTAAGCGACTGTCTTCGGCTCAGGTCATGATCCTGGAGTCCCTGGATCGAGTCCCGCATCGGGCTCCCTGCTCGGTGGGGAGCCTGCCTCTCCCTCTGACCCTCCCCCCTCTCATGAGCTCTCTCTCTCTCTCTCTCATTCTGTCTCAAATAAATAAATAAAATCTTTAAAAAAAAAAAAGTTATTTTACTTAATCCTCCTGGGTTAACTACTCCCTAGGGAACATGTCAGTTTCATTTTTAAAATTAGGAAACTGAGGCTTGGGAGGTGAACAATATGTTTCCTCAGCAGGAAAGTCAGAAGAGAAGCTGTAATTCACACTTCTATCAAGGAGGTTTTTTTTCAAAACTGGAAACAATGTTCCAAAAAACAGAATGATTAAAATATATGATGGCATATTTATAGGATAATAAAGCAGTTTTCAAGAAAACTTTTTCAAAATAACTTTCAGAAATTATCTAAGGATATGGATGTAGATACTTATGAGAAGACAGACATCTCAGGACAAAGCACGATACCGTTTTTTGTACATAACATATAAGGAAAACAAACCTGGAAGAAAACACCAAAATGTAATTATTTCTGAACGGTGAGATTGCAGATGGTTCTTATTTTGTTCTTTTGTTATTTGGTGTTTTTGTTTTTAATTCGTATGCATTACTAATAGAGTCAGGGAAAGGAAATCAATGATTACTGTGATGAAATGTGTCCCAATTGTCTCCTCAAGGGAGGGAAAACCATACTGAAGCCTGTACAGATAAACCTTAAAGTCATTGTGATTACATATGACACAATATTGCATCATTACCACAATAAATACACCAAAGAAACATCAAGAGTATCAATTATATTACTACAACATAAAAGTAAGAATAACAGGTTACCTAGAAAGCCCAGGGCCTGCTGCATTCTAAACATAAAGTTCATTAACTGCCTTAACTGTGTGGCATTCATCCTTCTAACTTCCAATCCAAATGTGGATTTTAGCAGTTCTATCTTAACATCAAACATTATGTTACAATCAATGGCTCCTTTTTCATAAGGAAAGGAGCAAGTATAAAGAATTCAAGTATCTCAAGGAAGGAAAGTGACAGAGACAGGATTCACACTCAAGTCTGCCTGACTCCAAAGCCTAAATAAGCTCTTTCCAGCTCACCAATCTGCCCAGCTTGTCGGTTAAGTTGCTGCCTCAAAACGACGACACACTAATCAATAACTAATTATTAGGGGCTGCTCTTTGCCTTAGTTACTGTGGGAGCCCCAGAAGCAATACCAGATAAAGCCTTGACTTCAAGGAGCTTTCATTCTCCTTGGAAAAAATATTCAAGTGAAACAGATAAAGGGCGATCTGTCTGAAAACAGACAAAATTAGATGTAAAATAACAGCACCGCTAGTGGTCTGATGAAGGTCTGAAATTACTCTGGACTGGAGTTGCCGCGGAAGGCTTAATGGATGAAGAGGGCCCTGAGAGAAGAGAAAGAGGACTTTTCTTCATTCACTCACCTATCGGTCTAACAAATAAAATAGCATCTATGTGCCAGTCACCGTTCTAGGGGCATTAGCAAATAAAACAAAGTCCTGAATGTGACTGCTGAATAAAGACCATAAAAGAATGAGCTGAGACAAACAGTTCAAAGCGTGGGAAGATCTGGACTCGGTGTAACGCCCAGCGCCTCAGTTTAATGCCCAGCGCCAATACCAGGAACTGTGGGCAAGCCCCGCGGAAAGCGAAAGTGTTCTCACCCACCCCCTCACCCCGACCCCTAGCAAGAGGTCCCTAGAAGGTGGAGATCGAGCCACGCAACCCCCCGAGAGCGCTCGAGAAGCACGCCGAGGGTGGCCGCCAATCGGGGAAGAGGAATCTGTCATCTACGAGCGCCCATGCGGGAAGGCAGCCGGCGAGGGCCGGGCATCGGCATAGATGCAGAGACTTCATCCTTCATCGGTCACCTCTGGACCCATGGACACCGACCTTAACACCCAACCCAAGCCATCCCGTGTTGGGTACCTGCGCCCCGAGCCCAGCGGATCCCAGCCAGCAGACAAGCTGAACCACGTGGGGAACCGAATCACTCCAGCAGCCAGGAGGAAGCGGCGGGCTGCCCCTAGCGGATGCCTGACCGCGCGCTCTCAGAGTTGGCCTCGCTCCGCGACGCTCGTCCCGCTCAGGCCCTAGAAAGCGGCGTGCGCGCAAGCGCACTAACGGCACGGCGTGACGTGCGTGCGGGGACCTTCCTCAACCACGTCTCCGTGTGATGACGTCAGAAGCCCGGGAGGCGGAGCTGCAGCCTAAATCCTCAGCGTGGCTTTGGAATTCAGCCTCTGCTTAGGACAGCTGTGGTGCCGGGTGCGATTTGCCTCACATCAGACTCAAAATACCCTGGCTTCGAAGGGCAAAATAAGCGTACAAGTGTCCGCACCCTCAGCTCCTACCACTGTGCGGGGGCAAGCCTGGGTTCCCAGATGGGTCCGGGGCAGCACACGGTAAGTGGTCCAGGGTTGTGTGTTAGCCTAGTTTTACGAGACGACCGACTCCAGGGATCTGTGCGTTATTTTACCGATTCTTTTATTAAAACAACTTCCCACTTTAATGTGACAAAATGAGTAAACTACCAGCAGACCTGTTTGATTCATCTCACTTGACCCTCCACACCTGCAGAAATGCTCCTGTAGACCTGTCGAGAATTCAGCATGGTTTCTACCCACCAGTGTGGGTATTTTGTAAGCTCCCTTTAGGCCTTATCTGGCCATCAAATGACGGCGTTCTTCTGAAAACCAGCTCTGGGTCTCTGCTATTGCTAAATTACTTCACCTTTCTTCCTCACCCCCCACCCCCACCAGCTCCCAGGCGAAACTCGCCCAAGCACAAGAACCACACATATATTCTTACACATTCTTGTCTTTGAGCCAGATCGTCGACCTTCAAGTAAACAAATCCCAACTGCTTGCTTGACATTTTTCAGATACCTCAAATTCGAATGTCTGAAGCCGAACTTATCTTCCTCACTGAAACTCCTTCCCCAAATCAAGACACTTCCAATTCTAATGTAATCATCACCAGCACCCATTTAGTCCAATATCCATCATTTTCTAATTCACTCAACAAAAATGTCAATATACCAGACACAAGGGATCAAGTGACCAAAATGTTCCTGTCACTCATGAAGTTTGCATAATTCTAAGTTTTATGTGCTGTTAAGAAAAAAGTATCCAGTAAGTAAACAGTGACAAAGGATTATGTTTTAGTGGTGGCCATAGAAGGCCTCTGAGGTAATGACACTGGAGCCTGGAGCAAACACCTGAATTTAGGAAGAATGAGCATTAAGAATATTTGAGTGAAAAGCCTTCCCACGCTGAAGATGTAACACGTAGATTTCTAGATGGGAAAAATCTTGGCAAGGTGGCAAAGCAGCCAATGTAGCCAGATTACAATGAGCAAGAACAAAATGGTAGGAAATTAGGCCAAACGATGAACGCACACAGACCAAACTTTAGAATTCTAGGCATGATGGGAAAGCCAGGAGTTTGGGAACTGGGAAGTGACAAAATCCGACTTGCCTCAGAAAAGGCTCATTCTTGGCTGCTGTCCAAAAATCACTGCAGGACAAGAGCAGCAGCCAGCCACTGTAAACCCCTGTGGCTAGCCACTGTGAGCTAGTGGTCGTGGTGGTTAGAAGTGCTACAGGACTCGGGATACACTGCCAAGGCAGAACCAGGTTGCTTAAGGACTAGATACAGGGTATCAAAGAGAAACAAATGATAGCCAAAGTATTTATCCTAAGCAAATGCAGGTTAATTGAGAGATTAATTTGGAATACTCAAGACATTCAAATTCAGATACTGACGAGGACTGGAGTTTGGGGGAGTTTGGGACCTAGGAGTATTTCAGAGTGACAGAAATACTAGTGATTGTATTCAAAATCCTGGGATTAGATGAGATCACCTAGGAAAGATTGTAGCTAGAGATCAACGTCTCACAACTGAAGCCTAGATTACCCAGTACATGATACTGATTACTGAGTGGCCAGTGAGACAGGAAACATTTAGAATCCATTCACTACCGTCCTCCACTTTATGTTGTAATCATTTCTCACATGGGCTACTCCAAGACATGTCTTGCCCCATACATTTTGTTCTCAACACTGCATTTTATATTCTTTAAATGGCAAATTTTATTAGGTGACCATCCTTGAACCCACCCCTGGCCCCATACACACAGTTTAGAAATCCTTTATAGTTTCCAACTGTTAAGAGACAAAACTTAACATGGAACATAACTATAGAGCCATCATATAGTACCCTTTACCTATTTCTTCAGCCACTAACTACTAAAAGCCATAACTCCTCCCACTTGGGCAGATAGCCTTCTCAGTCACTGGAGATTGTACCTTTGGATGTGCTCTTCTCTCCACTTCTCTGCCTAATTACTCCTAATCCGTCAAGTCTTAGTTGAATTATCCCTTTCACCAAAGTCTTTCTTGATCATTTTGACTAGGTCATAACCTGAGTCATGGCCTTTATACCTGTCATCAACCATGTTGCTCCATCATGGCACTTGCTACATTTTTGTGTCACCTTGTCATTATCTGTGACGAGACTGTTCAGTGAAAGCGGGAACCAGTGATTTTGTCACCACTGAATGCTTAGTGCTTGCCATGATGCTTGGCAAAGGACACCCAAATTTGCCAAATGAAGCCTTAGTTCAGTGGCTTAATACAGAGTCTCCCGAATATAAACAGAGTAAAGAAAACTAGTATTTACAAATAAAAATACAACACTAAAAATTGCCTTGTACTAGATCAGGTGGTCTTGCACTGCCTGCACTCAATGAGCCAGTCTTCTGCATGAGACTGGATTAGGCCTCGCAACAGCTGTTAAATTAAGGTATTAAGATCCTGACTGAAAGAAGGTGGCAGTCTAGTTACCTTAGAAGACAAAGCTACCAGATAGATTTAAGCTTTTTCCTTCTCTCCTCTCACAAGTAGCACTTCAGAGCTTTACTGGATAAAATACACAACTAATGCAGACTTCACTCAAGGACAGTAAGGAATCAGATTTTAATATTTAATCTAATGTTTGGGGATTAACATAAGAATAAAAAAAATAAAAAAAAATGTAAAAAAAATAAAAAAAAAAAAAATTTAATCTAATGTAATTTAAGACATTCACTAGTCTTTTCCAGTATTTTTATAGACCTCAGAATGGGAAAAGGTATAAAGATAAGCCTTAACAATTTACATTCATTTTCCTGATGGTTTCCCTCCCCGCTGACTCTAGAGAAGGGATAAACAACTCAAGGGCAATACTGATTCTTTGAATATAATTTATAGTCCGTAAAACTTAAAAGTGCTTAGTAAGAACTCAAGTAGGATGAGAGTTCAGGAACTTAAAGATGAAATGAAGAAGGCTTTGAACTCAGTGCTTACCTGTATCTCATTCCCCTAATTAGATGTATTACTGGAAATATAATGAACGGTACAAATTTCCTAAGACACTTAGGAGGCCGACTACTGAACTGCCTTCTACATTTTATGAACTGGTTGTCAACAGAGCACTTCAGTTACTGAGGCTTCTGAGAATAAACAAATTCTCATGCCTCCTATAAGTGGAAAAGTCTCCCACATAACAGAGATGCATATATAGGAGACAAAAGAACTGCAGAAGCTAACTGATTAAAAATGTTTAAAGGACAGGGCGCCTGGGTGGCTCAGTTGGTTAAGCGACTGCCTTCG